CAACTTTATGGCAGAAAGTGAGTGAAGCCGAGGTGTCAGGTCAGGACCAATAATATTGCTGATTCATCTTTGGATTTTATCAAGAATCTCTAAATATATAACAGGAGCACCGGACCATATGTGGCAGCAGAATTCAAAGCAAGAATGAATTGTAGACTTGTAGATATTCTGGAGAGAAAAACTGTCTAGCATGACTAAGTGAACCAACTTTCTTAGAATCATATCTAAGAATGGATTCAATAGTTTTTCCACTCCATGTCAGATGAGAATATTAGCCTGAGAATGTGCAAAGAGTTACTCTACTGGGGGTTAACATCGGCCATGCTGATGAAAGGTAGAAAGCTTTCTCTCAGATGATTAATGGAAAGCAGTTTTGCTTTGGAGGTGCTAAAATTAACAAGCCATTCTTTGCCCCAGTTAACAACTGCCAATTTGACCTTATCTGACTCATCAGAGGTTGACATGCTGCCAAAATCCCCCAAAAAAAAAAAAAAAATTTCACCTTATTGAATTGATCAGACTTACTATTGACTGCTAAGAAAAAAATGTTTAAGATATTAGAGTAATCCAGAATATATACTGGGAGGAAACTGCTTGTGTACAGATAAAAAAAATGATTTCAGTAAATCGGATGGCAGACAAGGATGCATTTTCTCACTGGATTTATTTAAACTTTACAGCAAGGCAATCCTAAAAGAACAAAGTCTTTGCAAGATTTCTTTTCAATGGGCACAACCTTAATAATGTAATATACACAGGTGACTGTGTTGATGGCAAACACAGAAAACTACAAAACCTAGACAAAGTAATAAAGGAAAGCAGGAAGAAAGGACTAACTATCAATTGTAAGAAAACAGAAAGTATGGATGCCAGAAAGAGGAAGTATCCAAGATATGAGATGCAGATTGGAGAGATTAAAATCAGGCAAGTACAAAATTTAAATATCTGGAAGTGTTTTTAACCAATGACAGAAAATCTGACTGGAATCTGAAGGCACATTTGAATAATGAAAGATACCTTTCAAAAGCTGAACAAAGTATTAAAATTATGTAATATTGGTCCTCCAACATGGCAGGAAATGCTGAACAATTTCGTTGCAGATGACAAGGTTACTCGAGACAACATAGATGTAGTTCTACAAAAAGATACTGAGCATACTATAGACGTAGCATATGAGGAAGCCTTAACGAAAAAAATGAATGGAGAGAACACTTATATTTAGATGCAGAAAAAGATTTAAAATGTCTAAGATACATGAGAAAAGGAGGTTCAGAGAATTTGACAATCACAGGACATATTGAAACCAAGAGGTAAACCTACCTAATGAGGTTGTATAAATGGATGGTAGTGATAGTAAAAAGACAGACTAAAAGCAAAGTATAGGAAGTTGTGAAGAGCTATGATTGACCACACCCGTAATTAAAATCAGTGAATTTCCTTTTCTCTCAGAAAAATTAGAATTCATTTCAAGAAAATTTAATTTAAGAATTTAATATTACTTCCAAGCAGACATAAAATGTGATTAGTATGGATAAATTTTATTGGAATTCAAAAACTGGAATGACATTATATTTGAATACTTATTCTGTGTATAACATCCCTTCACAATATAGGCGATCATGGGTCTCCACAACTTTCTAACTTATGTGGCTCTTAAGTTTTTGTCCTTTTACATCCCCCTCCCACAAGCTCGTGGGGGGGGGGGGGCAGCAAGCCATTTATGTATCTCTTTTGCTCTCAATATGTCCCATGATGGTTAAGTTTTCCAAGCACCCATTCCTCATGTGTCCAAGAAATTTCAGCAGCCTTTTCTTGATTCTGAGTAAAAGTGGTCTTTCTGTTGCCATTTTCTTTAAGGCTTCCTTGTTTTAATTTGCATTTAAAAAAAAAAAAAAAAAAAATTACGCAGTTCTGCTTGTTAGTATAAGTAAAAGATAACTGAAAAAAGATAAGTGAAAAAAAAAAAATACTTTTTGATTTGAATATATTTATTTATCATTTTTTTAGATGGAGCTAAACTTGACCATCTTTGAAATTACAGAAGAAAAAAAAAAATTAAAATATTAAAATTCATAAAAAAAAATTAATGAAATTAAAAAAACTTTTTAAAAGGAAATTTTTTATTCATAACAAATAGCTTACAACTTTTACAACGGATGGAGAGAAAAAAAAAATTTCTGCTTCCTAATTTTTCTTGATTAATGGCTCATAAATAGAATTAATGAAACAGCTTTAAAAAAGTCAGCAAAGGAAAAAGGTTTGTTTTTTGTTTATTTTTTTAAATCTAATACTTAAGCAAACATCAAGTTGATTTTGGAATATATGAATAAAACACTTGGATGAATCAAGTGTTTCTTCCCTCCTCGCTTCAAGATGGTTGGCAGTCATCCCCAAACTGTCCTGATATCTTTAAAAAAAATAATTGATACAGCAATTTAAATATTGCCCAAGAAATGCACATCTAGCATCCGTAGGAAAATAGGAACATCAGAGAATTCCTTTAATATCCAAATGGGCAAAATCTGTTGCAGGTGAACAGATGTGCCTATGTAGAACTGAACCATTAGGAATGGTACGTGCGTAAAGAATTAGACAGATATATATTAATGTTTAGGTAAGTGGCTGAAGACAAGAATCTAAATTTACAAGCTTTCATATGTTTAGAAATATCTTATAAGAATCATTACAAATTTTTTATCTGGGTTGGAGCTTTCCAGTCGTCACTTGCCTGCCTTGAAAGAATTCAAAATCATCTACATGGTCTTTGGGGTGATTATTTTCCACCCTACAATCCCTTTCCCACAGACAAGTTGTAAGCCTCTCTCTACTCTATCACTATATTTTCATGACACATGTTCTTATAAGCTGTACTTTTTAGCTCCACCCCACCTCCCTTGACCTTAACATACACAACAGTGAATCATCCCCTTTACCCTCATAAATTAATAGTAAGAAGTTGTTTCAATTTGGACAGCTTCTTCCCAATAAGTGCTGCTTTGTGGAACAGATACCCAGAAACTACGATCTTGACCTCTTCAAGTTTTGGGTTAATTGTTATCTTTCCTGAATAATTCCATTAAATTCACTTCTTGCTTTTTCTTATGCTCATACAACATTGCCACACAGTAGCCCTCTACCTTGAGTGGCTACTGGGCTTTAGATTAGGTGAACATTAGTATAAAAAAAAACATAGCAAGGGAAATGATTTTTTATTTATTTATATATAAATAAATAAATAAATAATTATCAAGTCCTTCCTAACAGACCTGTCCCTGAAAATCATTAACAGCCAGCCATTGGAAGCCCATAAGATCAATGCCAGCATTTCATAGGGTTTGCTTCTCTCTTCTACTGTATACTAACGACTTGCCTAAGAGCAGATTCCAATCATTAGTAAGTATCTATGCAGATGATACAACAGTTTATAGGTGCACCTCCCCAAATCTGGAAGATCAGAACCTAACAGCTCATCTCCCCCTCTGACTTTAAATTCATTTTAAAATGTCTGGCAAAGCATGACCATTTCAGAAAACTATCACTGAAAGCCTGAGGGATGTCATCAGTTAATAATTTTAAAGAAAAAAAGTTTCTTACATACTCAGTTATTTTATGCCTTGTTTATCTTAAAACTGGACGGCAATGATAATCTACTCTCCTCTTATTAAGGCAGAAGAGGGTTCAGCAGACTTGGACCTTTGTGCCCACAGAAAAAAAAAAAAAAAAAAAAAATTTTCCCTTGACACCACTATTATTTTAACTACCTTCACTCCTCAACAATGTTTATTCTTTGAAAAAGTGATGAATAGAATTGTAATAAAATCTAAATATATGAAAAAGAATTTATATATTTTCTTAGTTCTTGAGAATTGACAAATATAAGCATTATTAGATTGTTTATTGGAATAGTTTTACAAAAATTGGATAATTGTCAATTCATTCAAATTTTATAAGGATTTCTTTATAATTGGTTCATATTTTAATAATTTACTAAATGTTTATAAATTAATGAATAAATAATTGTTTTCACATTTCTTTCTTTATAAATTGTTAATGATAAATATTACATTAGTTTTTAGAATGTAAATATAAAATTATTCTTGTAAATCTGTGTTTAAATTTTTTTTTGCATATTCTCACAAACAAAATGTATAAATTCACTTTCATCATGTTTACGTTTTATTACAATTCTAATCTTCACCTTTTAAGACAATAAACATTGCTGAGGAAGGAAGGTAGTTAAAATAGTCGTGTCAAGGGAAAAACCATCCTTTAGACACGCCATGTTTGTTTTGTTTTTATGTGCACAAAGGTTAAAGTTTGCAGAGGATTCAATTCATTTATCAAAAATTACCTAGATTAAAAGTAGGTGGTGCTGAAAAGTTCTCATCCCAACCCACTTCCTAAAACTTGTTTAATAATTGAAATACCATGAAACTAAAAAGTGGGTTGGGTCAGTAACTTTAAAGTACCCTACTCCAATAACAATTTTGTTGTCCCCCTCCCCTATTAAATAACTTCTATACTAAATTTTTCGTTTAAATGTTTGGAGTGTTTCAGATGCCATCGTTTTTTGTTTTTTTATGCTGCGCTAAATCTTTAAAAAGCGGTCACATGAAAAGACCAATATTAGCCAAAACTCACAGAACACAATAAGCAGTCTGACAAGGGCGATAACTCTAAAAAAAAAAAAAAATCTTACAAGGGCGATAACTCTAATAGTTATTAAATTCCGAGATTTTTATTTCTCTGACCACTAATTTTATAGTTCAACATGCCGAAGATTTTTCACATTCACGCCAGCTGAACTGACTTCATTTTTTTTAGTTTTTGTATTTAATCTCTAATTTAACAGTCGGATTCTAAATGGCTGCATGTAGAAGTCTACATGGTATGACCAATGTAGCAGCAGCTGTGGGAAATTTGAGATGTCCTTCTGCACTCAATTATACACACACACACACAGTTTCTGCACTCAATTACACAGACATACAGATTTCAATTTAATTCAACATAGAATGGCGATCGTAGATATTCCTTCTTTGTTCTTGTACTGTTCCTTTCCATTTCTTCTGCTCATCACTGACACGATTGAGGATCGAACGCTGCCTACCAAGATGTGCACGCAGTGAGGGTGCTGGTGGTGTGGATGGTGCGGATGTTCCTGGAGCAGGTGGAGGCAATGACTGTTCATCCTGGCACAAAACCAGAGGAGAATGGACAAAGAAAGAAAAAGAAAATTGGGTTAAATTCTGAGGAGAGGAAACAAAAACAATTTATTTCAAAGCAATCTGAAATAAAAAAAAAAAATATTCAAAGAGAAACTGTTTCTTGGTTCATCTCGACTTGTGTAATATTAGATATTCATTGGTTGCTAGTCTCTGAATAGAATCAGAAATAATTGTGAGAAACTTGCAAAAATACTTTAAAGAATTTTTTTCTATGAAGTCTTGGGGAATGGCAGTAAATCTAAATGAACTTTGGCTTTAATTTTCTATTTAAAAATAAATGTTTTCAGTAATTCAAAAGTCATTAAAATCTTAAATATATAAATAAAAGATTTTTTTTCCACATGAAATTTTTACATCTAGCCTGAAGTTTTTAATTTTGTAGATGGAGAATGATTAACATTTATGCTGCTGTAGACATACATCTTTACAAAACTTGTCATCTGGTTCACAATCTTTCCTGGTCTTTTGAACAGGAGGAGAGGTTAATCCCTCATTTCCTGTTTAGAAGGAACTGGAAACCTTATCCTAAAGGTTTTCTCATTCTCTTGCACTCCCAGTAGCCACTGGTGTTTTTAGTGGCATTATCACCTTGCTTGGGGTGAAATGATCAATTTTTCATTTTCTGTTCTTGATATACAAGAAAGACATTATGAATTGTTAGTCCTTTGCTATTTTCAAACCAATATATCCACATAGTAAGCATACAACCTGCTTCGTGATATATTTTTATTGTGTGTGTTGGGGGGGCTACAGAGTAGACAATCAAAATTGTATGGAGGCATCCATATGAAAAGTTGCTATTAGCATCTTATAGTCATTTATTTTCAGTAAATGGCAATTCTCTGCTTGTGAAAGTAGCTATACTTGTTGACCCAACTCAGAATCTATGGCAAGTAATCCTAAAATTAAGGTGGTGAGGTTAGTTATTTGGAAAAGTTGGGATCTAACAACTGAATATGCCAAATTACAGTTGAATCTTCATATTCAATAATTTTCCAATCAAAAGGCTGGATATGCAAAAAAAAAAAAAAAAAAAATGGGTAATTAGTTTAAAGTTAGTACAAATGGTTCTCAAAAACAACCATCATGATTATTTTTTTTTCTATAAAAAGGAAAAAAAATTAAATAAAAATCCAGTCCAACAGCATTTTTATATTAATAACATTCATAAACTTAGCCAATTTGGTGTTAAAAAAAAAATTACTAGAATAACTGCCCCCACATTTTCACATTAAAGGGGGAAAAAAATAATTGAGCATTTGTTTGCATTGTTGCAAGTGTGAGAATGCAAATAGGAATTTCTCTTGCTTGAAACAGCCACAAAATATATTTAAAATCTAAAAGAACACAGCTGAAAATTCTGATCAGTCAAAAAAGTCTTACATGCATGCAATAAAAGAAATAAAATGACATGCTATTAGCTTTCATGAATGTTCCAGTGATATGAGAATTTTCAAATCACATGAAAGAAATTCAATGAAGTTAGCTATCTTCATGCATCAAACATTTAAATTGTTTAGAGATCATAAGGGACTTTCCCGTTTTTCCCAATTAAGCTAAAAGAGAATTTTCATATACAAAATACTGATAAAGAATTACTGACAAAGTTGGACCTTTGTACCTGCAAAATAATGACATGCCAAAAAGACAGTTAAAATAATAGCGGTGTCGATGGAAAAACTATCTTCACTCCTTGGCAGTGTTTATCATTTTAAAAAGGGATGATTAGAATTTTGATAAAATCTAAACATGATGAAAGTGAATTTATAAATTTTCTTTGTTCTTGAGAATTGACAAAAATATCAAACATTATTTATTATATTGTTTATTGGAATGGCTGACAAAACATCAGCTAATTGCCAGATGATTTGAAGTAATAAGGATTTCCTTAGAATTGGTTTATGTATTTTAATTTAGTAAATTGGTAAATATTGCATTGAATTTTAATTGTATTAGCTTTTAGAATGGTGTAAATATAAAATTATTAAACAATCTAATAAATAGTGTTTAATATTCTTCTTGTAAATTCTCAAATAAAAACTGTATACATTCAATTTCATCATGTTTAGGTTTTATTCTAATCATCACTTTTTAAAACGGACATTATCAAGACTGAATGTAGTTAAAATAATAGAGGTGTCAGTAGATCAAGACTGAATGTAGTTAAAATAATAGAGGTGTCAGTAGATCAAGACTGAAGTAGTTAAAATCAAGACTGAATCAAGACTAGTTAAAATAATAGAGGTGTCAGTAGATCAAGACTGAATGTAGTTAAAATAATAGAGGTGTCAGTAGATCAAGACTGAATGTAGTTAAAAAATAATAGTAGATCAAGACTGAATGTAGTTAAAATAATAGTAGATCAAGACTGAATGTAGTTAAAATAATAGAGGTGTCAGTAGATCAAGACTGAATGTAGTTAAAATAATAGAGGTGTCAGTAGATCAAGACTGAATGTAGTTAAAATAATAGAGGTGTCAGTAGATCAAGACTGAATGTAGTTAAAATAATAGAGGTGTCAGTAGATCAAGACTGAATGTAGTTAAAATAATAGAGGTGTCAGTAGATCAAGACTGAATGTAGTTAAAATAATAGAGGTGTCAGTAGATCAAGACTGAATGTAGTTAAAATAATAGAGGTGTCAGTAGATCAAGACTGAATGAGTTAAAATAATAGAGGTTAAGATCAAGACTGAATGTAGTTAAAATAATAGAGGTGTCAGTAGATCAAGACTGAATGTAGTTAAAATAATAGAGGTGTCAGTAGATCAAGACTGAATGTAGTTAAAATAATAGAGGTGTCAGTAGATCAAGACTGAATGTAGTTAAAATAATAGAGGTGTCAGTAGATCAAGACTGAATGTAGTTAAAATAATAGAGGTGTCAGTAGATCAAGACTGAATGTAGTTAAAATAATAGAGGTGTCAGTAGATCAAGACTGAATGTAGTTAAAATAATAGAGGTGTCAGTAGATCAAGACTGAATGTAGTTAAAATAATAGAGGTGTCAGTAGAAGGGGGGGGAACATTCTTTTGGCACTCTGTTTTTTTTTTTTTTTTTTTGACACAGGTCTAAGTTTGCCAATTTCCTATATAGATTCTTAATAGAAGTCTATCATATTGTACATCATTTTTGAGAGTGAATCCTGCAGAATAAAAGTGTGAATGTTGTATTTTGGTAAAACAGATTTGATCCCTACATTTAGTCAAAATGTTCAGTGTAAAAAAAAAAAAAAAAACCCTCACAGTATTAAGAACAAAGATGGAGATGTTATTTCCAAATGAGAAAAAAAATGCATGGATATAAAGAAACTCTAAAAAGAACAATTTCACAGTAGCAGAGAAAAAAATGTAATGGAGTGACAAAAAATTGATTCCATCTTCAGGGAGAGAAAAATATAGCCAGTAATTAAAAAAAATACACTCAGGACAGAGAAAGAGAGAAATTGGGTGAAAAGGATTTAGAGAGAAAAAAAAAATATTTTACATAATTATTTTTAAGCAGTTAATAAATTCTAAAATTCAACCTCTCTTATTACAGTCTAACATCTACTAGCATAGAGGTCAAAAGTCTTACAAAAAGAAAAAAAAAAAAAAGGAGCCAGGTATTCCCTGTGCCATGAAGCCAAATTTTCTTTTAATAAGACTTTCAATTTCCTGGCCAGTAGATATTAATTTTAATGTTTCCCAAAAAAAGAAAAAAAAGCATGTCTACTCAAAGACATGTATCCATTGAATATAATGTTTAGAAGAAATTCTAAATCTGGAATAAGTGATTACATGAAGAAATTTTTTATAAGAAATTGAACAGCTAAATATTTCTGTGCCATATTTGTATGCATTTATAATGCACTTCTTTCAGAGAAAGGGAAAAGAAAGAAGGGAAAGAAAAAAAAGGGAAAAGAAGGAAAGAGACCAATCCACCCTGCATCCTTTTATACCAACATCAACACTTAACTTCCAGAAGAGACTAACATTTGAATATCAGGAAGCAGAAAAGAATAAAACATGTTCTTTTTTTATTTTTTTATATATATATATATATATATATATATATATATATATATATATATATATATATATAATGTAATGTGTGTGTAAAAATATATAGAAATAGGAAAGAATTCGTTAGGTAAATAATCCAAAGTTCTTTAGTATTTTTGTTATTATTTTTTTAAAAAGTGCTCGATACAAAAGCAGAGTAGTTCCAAAAAAAAATTTTGCTTGAAGATGGAATAGAGCTTGGTACTTTAATTCAAATAATTATATTGAAGTTTTTGGCTCTTGTTTTGAAACATGAGAACTCTTATGTAGCGATGGAATCATATTTTTAAATAAATAATTATATATATTTATATTTCTGCTTATATGTAATTTTTATAGATACTACTTATTTAAGTAAATTGTCTCTTTAATTAAGCTGAATGCTTCAGAAATATCAGACAGGTAAATCTAATTAATACTGTTTAATTAAAAACTGATCATTTACTTAAATAAGTAGTATCTATAAAAATAATGTATAAACTGAAAATATTAAATAATTTTCAGACAATACAACAATATATATATATATATATATATATATATATATATATATATATATAATCCCATGTAGATAGCATGACTCAGAGTTTCATGCAGATATGCAATCTTCAGGTAAAGGATACTCACTCATAAACCCGAGTAATTCCCCTTCATACATAGGACTGTTTATGTAAATTCAATTTTTTTTTTTTTAATTAAAAAATTTTTTTTTTTTAAACTGATATAAATGATAAATAATTTAAATATTATAGCCAACAATAATAAAATGAAGATTGTGTATCCACATGAAAGAGTCATGCTATTAATGAGGAATATTATGTATATTCATTAATATATACTTAATAGTTCTGTCATACAACATTGAGCACTGTTTTTATAACACCTGAGGAAATATATATATATATATATCTCCATGCATGTG